TAGTCCAGGAAAGCTTATGCTCTAATAAATTTGTTAGTCTCTAAGGTGCCACAAGTACTCCTGTTCTTTTTAAATAGGACAAGACACTGGTGCCTTGCGGGTGTGTATGTGTGGGTGGGTGGGTGGGGGGATTAAATGCTGAAGAAAGTCTGAGGGGCAGATGATCTGAGTTTTGGTTGCTCTGCTGTTAAGAAGCAAGTGTTTATTACGGTTCATTGTAGCATTGTAGTTGGATTTCTATTATGTTCTACTTGAACATAAGAGGATGCTTTCTTAAGGGCGATGACCAAGAGTTTGTAGCATCTGTTCCGATCTGCCAGAATAAAAGCGGAGGGAGTTGGTGATTATACTAGAACTACAAACTATGCGACAGGCTATGCAGGACAAATGTCTACGTGGTGGTGAAGAAAATGATGATGATGCTGATGATGCGGGAGGAATGGGACACGACATTAGGATATAGGTCGAGGTGCATGAGGTCGAGACCTGTCTGGAGTAAAATGAACCACACCTAAATTGGTGGGTCAAAAAGCATATAGAACATCGCGAACGAGATCTTCTTAGGAACTCGTGTATCCAACTCGTTATGTCCACACCTTCCTTCTAGACTACCTCTCCCGTTCCGACCTCCCCACCTGTTCCGCGGTGATGAAAAGACTGAACTGCATCGACCAGAAGGAAATGGTGATAACACTTTAAATTGCACATAACAACAGCCCTATCTCCCCTTAATAAACTGGCATCCCACCTATTTGAACAGAAGGACTCATTAGCATTGTAGAGATATGTCCCAAAATTCAGATGGGGAAAAAAGGTGAGAGGGAAGTGTGTTTCTCTACTCTCTGTGCTTTTAGAGTGCACTGAAACAAAAACTGCTAGGGAAATAGTTGCATAAAGCCGCTTTGTTTATCCAGAGCAAAGGAGTTCACATGAAATGTTGGGCTTTTTAAAAACCGGATCACAGATAAATATTTTAAATTCAATTGGAAAATAAAACCCAAATGTTTTGATGTTTCGATTGCAACAGGAGCTTTCTAGTAGTATCTGTAGCTGAATTTAAGAATGAAAAGCCTGGGAATGCAAAATAGCCCCTCTTAATGGGGGTTGAGAGCTTGGGGTACTATAATGACTGTCCATATGAGAAAGAAAGGGCAAGGGGAAAGTATTTGAACCTGCATATTCGCTTGTGTGGCAAAGAGCACGTGCAGTCCCAAGGTTTTACCTGAAGGTGTCCGGGATTTTGAAACAGCAAAGTGCTTGCTATGAAAATGTCTTCGGCTCAGAAAATGTCTCGAAAGCAGGAAAAACATGAAAAACAGTTCTTTATCTTGGAGTGGGCTTAGTATTTTTTATTGCACTGTCAGTCGGTTGTAACTTATTTGTTTTAGAGTTTCAGTGGCTAAGGCGCCAGTTTAAATCAAGCCAATTCCTAGTGAAAGGCTTTTTTTGTTTTTTCTTGGCATGATTTCTTTTCCGAAGTAAAACTGCTGACAGAATGCACATTGCCAAACAATACTGATTACATTTTAATTAGCTAGGGTGAAATAAGCTGCAAATTACTCAGTTAGGACTTAATAATGGGCTGCTTTTTTTTTTGTAATCAATTGCAAATCTTGGAGTTTTAACCCTAACCTGGTAAAGCACAATGAAATTAATCTAAATTACAGAGGATTAAGCTCCCTTTAGATATGAAACGACTGTAATGTTTAGAAGAAAATGATCTCGTTTATAAAAGTTAAGCTTCCCATTGTCTTTTAATGAAAGAAGGAAGGACTGTTTCATAGGGTGCATTCACTGTTTGATATGCATAATAGACCACAAGGTCATACAAACCTAGGCAACATTATTCAATGATGAGAACTACCCTCAACTTCCATCTCTAAAGTAGCAGTTGCTGAAGTTCTTTCACTGCAGAGGATGTCACATTATCTCATTATCTGACTCAGCCTTTGAAGTGACCCAAACATTAACTCAGCCCAACAGCAAGAGTAAAGTTCTGTATTGTCTCACTAAAGATCACATGAAGAACAGGCAGTGCCAGTGCTTAATTTGTAATGAAAGGTGCTGGGCCTCAAGCAATTGTTTTACTTTCATAACTGATGCAGCAAGCCAGAAGTGCCAGGGCTATGAACTGCTAAGCCAGAGGCCTGGGACAAATTAAGTATTGTGCAGTGCCTGTCTTGAGAAGACCTTCTGCTTTTCCTCATCCCCTCAATTGCAGTCACTCAGTAGTTGGGGGCCAGCCAGATAGCTCTGGAGCACAGCGGTGGGTGGGGCTGCTGCTGGATGACACATGACTCACGGGGGATGCCCTGCATTGTAGAGTGGAGGGTTCTAAAAACACACCATTTAGGGTGTGATAGCAGAAATATGAAGTCATGTGAACAATGAAGAAATCAGTGAAGGGTAAGGATTATTTCTATAATTCCAGGCTATTCTTTTCCCCATTGTCCTGCCCAGAGCTAGTCAATATTTTTCAAATTTTCAAAATGTTGACTATATTTTTCGTGAAGAAAATGGAATTATCACCATTTTCATCATTCTTTAAATCACCTCTAGTTTTGACTGGAAGTTGAAATGCTCTGTTTTCTTGAACTACACTGCCTCGGTTTCTCCATGGAAATGATAGTAACTACCTCTGAGGGGTGTCTGACACCTGAGATACCCCTCTGATGCAGCCCCACACACCCATTGAAGGGTGCACCTTCACTAGGAAGAAGGTGTGTTCTAACCATGTTTTAGCTAATATGAGGAAAAACCCTTGGTAAGACAAGGAAATTTGTAGTTTTCATACACATTAGCAAGTTCTATCCTGTGGCCCCCATACTCACTGATGTATATGAGCACCTCACAATCTTCAGTGAGCAAACTAGGGAAATATGGTTTTGACAAAAATACTATAAGGTGGGTGCAAAACTGGTTGAAAGGCTGTACTCAAAGAGTAGTTATCAATGGTTCTCTGTCAAACGGTGAGACTGTATTTAGTAGGATCCCACAGGGGTCAATCCTGGATCCGGTACTAGTCAATATTTTCATTAATGACTTGAATAATGAAATGGAGAGTATGCTTGTAAAATTTGCAGATGACACCAAACTGGGAGGGGTTGCAAGCACTGTGGAGGACAGGATTAGAATTCAAAACAACCTTGACAAATTGTTCTGAAATCAACATGGTGAAATTCAATAAAAAGAAGTGCAAAGTACGTCAGTTAGGATGTGATACTGTTGTGAAAAAGGCTAATGTCATTCTGGGATGCATTAACAGGATGCATTATGTAAGACGTGGGGTTTTTGTCTCAATCTACTCAGCACTGGTGGGGCCTCAGCTAGAGTACTGTGTCCAGTTCTGGGCACCACATTTTAAGAAAGATGTGGGCAATTTGGAGAGAGTCCAGAGGAGAGCAACAAAATAGATAAAAGGTTTAGAAAACTTGACCAAGAGGAAAAGTTTAAAACTTGTTTAGTCTTGAGAAAAGACTGAGGATGGACCTGATAATAATCATCATATATTACTCTGCGCCAAATTCTACGCCAAAAAAATTAAAATTCTGCACACATTTTAAAATTCTGCATTTTTTTTTGGTCAAACTAATGCAATATAATCCGGCTAGTTTCAATTATTTAGGCAATTTATTTAAACTACAATACAATGGATGGAGAATGGGAGTGGGGAGCATTGGAGGAAATCACCAAACCCCCTCTGTCTAATAGTAATATAGCTAGTATTGACCCTTTACTTCTAGTTATTAGTCAACAAATATATGCAGCCATATGCTCATTGTTACATCACAGGCAACTGAAGACCAAGTGAGGGCTGGGGACTCAAACTCACAATTTATACTGGCTACTGACTATCTCCAAAAAGTTCAGTTGCAATCAGTTCATGGAGCACATTTTGATAGGAAATTTTTTCAGTCCAAACATTTAGACCAGTTCTAATCACTAAAGCACCATAAGCATGTATAAAGCCATACTGACCTTTACAATAAGGCTCCTTTACAGCACTCTAGCAATGTAAAGGAGCTTTAAAATTTTATATCTGTTTTATACTCCTGGGGCAATTCACT